AAAAAAAAAAAAAAACTCAAGATTTGATACAAGCCTTCCATATCACATAAAATACTTGATTATAGAAGACTCAAAGAATACCCTTATGACCCTTTTTATGCATCAAACAAATTTTCAATAAGTATAAGTCATTTTTAAGAACTGAAAATAATCACAAAATCTGTTTTATATAGCTATTAAAAACTAAAAGAAGGCGCTGGGAAGGTAGCTCAGTGGTAGAGTACTTGCCTTGCATGTATGAGGCCCTGGGTTCGATTCCTCAGCACCACATAAGCAAAAAGAAAAAAAGCTGGAAGTGCACTGTAGCTCAAGTGGTAGAGCGCTAGCCTTGAGCCTTGAGGGACAGCGCCCAGGCCCAGAGTTCAGGCCCCACAATCGGACCCCTCCCCCCAAAAAAAACTGAAAGAAAACTTTTCAAAACTCAGAATAAAATTATATTTGATAATAAATTAGAAACTTAGTAGAAATGTAATATACTAATTCAGTATGAGGAAAATTACAATGACTTCATAAAAAAGTAAGTATAAAGCCATACCTCAGAGTTTGAACCACCATCGTAGGCACTGGTAGCCAATCTAGCCAAGTTACACAAATGCTGAAACAGGTTTAAACCAGTCATGCTAATCGTTTCTGGTTTTAGCTGGGGCATCTTGAGGGGAAAATATTAATGAAAGTTTAGCTGATATTTAACAGATGTTATTTTATTAGTTACAAGTTGACAAAATTTAATTTTGTTGAAAATATTACAGAAGGAACATTATCAACTCCCATTATTTTTTTGAGGCTAAATTTATTGATTCTTTACTTTGTAGCATTCTATTAACCATTTATCTATACTGTCATAGTCATTCTTGTTTTTCAGAGGAAGGAACTGAAGTCTATTAACTCTGTGGTTAGGACATACATGTATCACTGTACAAGGTGAGGCTAAGTGGCCCTCAGAGTCCCATTCACATGTTGCACAAGCTTACTAGAAAGGTAATTTGGTAATCTAATTTAAGGAAAATTCCACATATCAGCTCAGATTTCTAGTGATCATTCCAAATTTAAGTATTTAATTTTTTGAAAGTTCTTTTCAGGCATAACTGAAACCTGTCTGATATGCATCTCAATTTTCAAGATATGCACAAATCAAAAAAACCCAAATCAAAAAAAGTGAACAACCAGGAACTAGTGGTTCACACCTTTAATTCTAGGTACTTAGGAGGCTGAGATCTGAGGACTATGGTTTGAAGCCAGCCCAGGAAGGGAAGTCTGACATTTTTATCTTCAATTAACCCTTAATAGCCGGAATGGAGCTATGGCTCAGGGGGTAGAGTGCTAGCCCAGAGTGAAAACTCTGGGACCAGGCCCAGCCCTGACTTTATGCCCAAGTACCTGTATACACACAAAAAATGTGAACAAAAACATTCTGTCAACTAACTACATATGACTATAAATATTCCTAAGGTATAAAGCTAAGTACATTGATTATGTTATACTAAGGACTTGAAATTTACGATGATTTTAGCTCTATTTGTAATTTGGCCTTGGATCTAATCTAATAAGAGGTTTCAGTGATACATTCTAAAATTCACTTTCATATATTCTACCACACAGATAATATGAGGAATTGTACCAGCTTTCATAATCTCAATAATAAGCAGGGGAGGAAGAGCCCTGCCAGGCATAGGATGTAATCACAATTACTTGGGAGGTAGAAACTGATAAGATCACAGTTTGAAGTCAACCTGGATCAAAGAGATAGCAATTCACTTTCACCATCTTACCCAACAAGCTAGGCCTAGTGGTATACAACTATGGGAGGCATAAATAGAAAGACTATCTGATGTTGGCCCCAGGTAAAAACCACAGGATCTACCTGAAAAAATAACTAAGAGAAACAAAAATCAACAACAAAACAAATAAAAAGAGAGGAGGCTAAAAGACTTGTTCAAGTAATGGAGTTGCTGACTAGCAAACACCAAGTCCTGAGTACTGGGCCTAGTACATTCTTCCCAGCAAACAGACATTAGGAAAACTACCACTTGAAGTAAATATGGTTTCAAAAGAACTAGATAATCTTTAATATTAAATCTAAGAACTGATTTGTATTTGCTCTGAAATTTAGAAACTATAACTATTTAACTAAGGAAAAGTCACAAAATTCAACTTTTCTACTTATGGTTTTAGATACTTTAGAATTGGACAACGATTTTCATGATTTGAAAAATTAAATATGCCGGGCGCTGGTGGCTCACACCTGTAATTCTAGCT